CTGATCCTCCTGCAGGTGGTGAGTCCACAGGAGCCTTGATCTTTCAGAGAGGGCTTCGGGCAAAGTGGGGTTAAGTGTCTTGCCCAAGGACACAACGACAGCAGTCATCAGTGGGAGTCATGAAGTAGGTCTTATGGTGGGCTTGAACCCACGACCTTCAGGCTCAAAGGCCAATGCTCTACCAACTGAGTCACGATAAACATTATGATATCTTTGTTGTTTATTAGAAAATATTTCGTTCTTATCCTTGAGTGTCGCAGGAGTGGATTAACAGTGTTTACATATCTCATACTGTTTGCCTTATTGCGGAAGAAGGAATCCCTGCTCAGGCAGACAGCCTAGCGACTGCTAGCAACAGCCTAGCGGCAGCCTAGTGATAGCCTAGCAACAGCCTAGCGACAGCCTAGCAACCAAAGTGCCAATCAGAAGTGGCTCTGGTCTGTTCCGGCTCACTGAAGCCAACACGACATTGGTTGTCAGTTGGTAGGGCTGGTTTTTAGAGACATTTTAAAACAAAAGGGTTAGTGTGACACAAACGCTTACAGAGCTGGAGGAGTGAACCAAGGTGAGTTGGAGCGAAACTTTGCCCACGAGCACTTCTCTATGAGGCTTCATCATGCTAGCGGATTAACATTGCCCTTGTGTATATTCAGCATGATTCTTATTGGCAAACGTTGCCAACAAAAGGCCTTTTCCAAACATTTTTATGTTATGTTTATCAAAACCGTCAAAAGTGTTCAAAAATGATTTAGCACTTTTTAAACAAATAACAGAATGCACATAACTTCAGGAAATAGCATTTGTCAAATCAGCACAGGGAGAAAGACCAGCAGCCCTTTCTCAAATTGTAAAATGAGAAAAGCAAGACATCTGTTATGTTGTATCAATGTAGTGCCTGCAGCGGCTCCACTGAGGCCGACTTTGCAAACTCTCTCTGAACTTTTTATATCAAACCCAGCCTTAGATTTAGCAGCGCTATCAATTGTGAGCGCAGAAAATCTACTGGGGTATCAGCCCACTGTCACCGGCACAATTTCATTCAGAGTTTTACCATTTTTTGTTCTCACCGCCGGAGCTGTTCACCAAATGAGTGGCTTGTGAAAGGTGTAGAGCTGCTTCCTCTGACGGATTGTGAGAAAGATACTGTAATTAATCAGCTGCAGTTGGAATTGTAGGCAGAACTGTGACATTTTCTAAACTTTCCGCTTCAGGCTTTTCATATTATTCAATCTTCTTCAAGCCGGAGTACCTAACTTTGAAACCACAACAATTAACTACTGTATGCAATCGGACAAATCTTTATAACTTCTTCAGCGAAAAGGAGAGAACCAGCCCTGACTCAGCCAATCAGCTCTCAGTATGTAAGAGATAATAATTAAAGATAAAGTTGTGATCTGATTTGTCTGAGTCCTTCTGTTGGAAAAAACAGCGTGTATTTATGGAGCAAAAAAGTTAGGTACTTGAAGTTAAAAAAACTGTCCACAATCAGATCGAGAAACACTTTTCTAAAAATGAGTTTATTTCACACAAACACAGGAGAAACACAGAAAATATGTATAAAACATATCGGCAACAAAATCATTTTTACCTGAAAGGGAGTGGAAAGAAGAGAAAGATCAAGAGAGCTATAGGTGGATTACTTCCGGGTGAATCATCAAGACTATTGGTCCTCCCAATTGTCAATCATTCCGGTCATACGTGCTCGTCAAATAAGACCAGAGAGTTTTGTTCAAAAAGTGGAAAGGACGGTTCATTCCTAAAATTTGGGAAAAAGTGTATTGAGGATATGTCATATATGTTAGTATTTCAGTTGTCAAATGTAACCACATTGTTCCAGTTTATTTACATTGTAAATTATTAAATATCAGCAACTTTGTTAAGTCTTTGGGAGAAATCAATCTTGTAAACTCGAGGTTTAAATCAAAATACTCTAGCTCTCAAAAAGTACCAAACTTTCAGACCACAAAGTGAGCCATGAACTGAAATCCATCTCTCTGGTTCTATCACTAGTTTTCAAATCTGTCACTTCTTTAGAACTTTTTCTGACAGAAAAGTGACTGTATTTGAGGACCACCTTCACTCATCTCATCAGCTCTCAGCCCAAAGTGTCAAATAGTGACTCCCAAGGCCTTTTTTCGTACAAGTATATAACAAGTAAATAATAAACACTTTTTTGTTTTATTATTTATGAGGGGAGGAAAAATGTACGTATCCCAGCATTAACCCACACTCTCTGCATCTACAGTATGTCCTTCAGACATGATTCTCAAACAGTCACACGTACTTGCATCTATTCTACATCCATTTTCATTCATGTTTTTATTTTTGTCATATAATTACCCCACCGGATGCGCTCTCCCTGCGACACGTTAAGAATCTTTCCTTTGAGCCAGCGTTATTGACACAGATCTGCAAAGGGCATTTCTTTTTTAACTATGCATGCATTTGCCTTTTTGGAAAACAACCAAGCCAATTAGAGAGAGGGAAGCATTATCTTCCCTCGCCACATACTCCGCCGTAATGAGAGATCGGCAAAGATAAGTCAAATTACTGATGTAACTCTGGAGATTTCTGAAAGTGTGGATTTTAGTTAACTGCTGTGTATTGATTAGTTAGAGCGCAAATGACAACAACAGTGCTAATAGCAAAGGCTGATTAACATTCTGGGAGCGTGCTTGTCATTGAAAAGCTGTCAGACTACAAAGCCACTCCCAGATGACTCGGACAAACAAGAAGCGAGAGTCAGAACATCGCAGATAATCAGGAGGCAGGATTGAGACGTCATGAAAGAGAGCTTGGCTGACGGGAAGGCATTGTAAAGGGTTATGTCAGGGCACCGTGGGTCTAAAAAGAAAAAATGCTAAAATATGTAGCTTGAATAAGATAAGATTATTTGACCCACAGTGGGGAAATGCCAATGTTGCAGCGCACAGACAGGACAGTAGTAAGAGCAAACAGGGAGCACATAGAATATATATTAGTAGCTATGTTTCTTAGCTAGCTGTAAATGCTTCAATATCAATCTTTCAAAAATATATATGTATACAGTATATGTATGTAGTGTGGAGTTATATACTGTACAGATAGGGCAGAATAATAAATAGATAAAGTAAAGTGGCTTTGTTCAGTGGACACTCTGAAGTTGCAGAAAGTCCTTATTTACAGATGAATGACATCAACTGGTTTTTATCTTGATTTGAGAACGTTCTGATTGAGGCATGAAGTCAGTCATCGTAAGTGCGCTTCCATTCGACACATTTGCTGTTACTAAAGAGAGGGTTCTAAACATTATATAATTTAATAGTAATGTGGTATTGTTAAATTAAGTACTTGTAGTGACAACAGAGGTGAGCCATCCACTAGACTCCAAATTCTGATTAATATGAGGTAAAACAGTTCTTAATAATTTTAACTTGAATCTAACTGTTATTAATAGAAAATAGTTGTTTTTGTATCATCACCATTTATTTACTTAATAAATAAAACAGCCACATGTTTAAGAAAACAATCAAAGCAACAACAATGAAATCATATTGAATGAATGATTACAGAAATACTAAAGGGAAAAAAACAGTTTTAATTGCTGCAGTCCGTCTCAAATCTAATGTATATTTTGTCTTTAATTTTTAAATGTCTAAGAAAGGGGCAGGCAATATACGTTTCTTCTTTTCATTTGTGTGACAAGACAATAACATTGTGAATTGTAATTGTTATATGTGGTGTATTGTCATGTCCACAATTGAATTAAATGATTAAATAGACAAATAAACTTTCAGTAAATGGAAAGTGAATTGGTGTGGGCAGCACTGCAGCTCGCACCTCTTCAAAGTCTCACTGGCTTCACTGGAGAATGTGTTTTTTCAAAGATGCTTTATCCATGATTTATCTCACACACTCTTGTAAGATGTCACTGTACAAACAGAGCAACATCACGGCGTCGCTGTGAGCTCCGTGTGTGTGTTTTCAGCATCAATCAACTCCACGTCTGGAATACTGTTATTTCCACTGACCCAGAAAGATTACATTTGTGTTGCGGCAATTTTTTTCTTCCCCAGCGCGTAATGATAGTGGTGGATTTAACACTAACACCCAGAGCAGTCAAACTTAATTATTAAGCTCATATACATTTTTGATCTTTGTAAGAGTTCATCTGTTTCTTTTTGTAGTTTATTTCTATATCATTATTGTTATGAAATTATTTTTTGAAATGGAGGAGAGAAATAGAGGAGAGCAACTGTTAGCAACCATAGCAACCTAAGCTACCATAGCAACCTATTGTTAACTTGCTACCAGTTAGCATTAGCCTTTCAACTGTTTTTGTTTTATGTATTTCAAGTAATATTCCCCAGTTTTCACACTTCTTAACACTAGGACTCCCAGAATTCTGAACTACTACAACGTTTTGACCAGATTCATTAAAAGAAAGTAATTTATTTGTTTTTTCATTTTTTTATTTTACCTTTACCCACTTTTGATAAGTGGCTAATGCTAAATTCTGAGAGTAAAAAGTCTGTTGCTATGGTAACTAGCACTCGTATTCTCCGTTAAAGGTAGAGTTAAAGATGCAGTAGTGTTAGCTTAGCCGTAGCACCAACTCGAAACCACTCCCGCCTCCCCCTCTCCACCAAACCAAACATCCAGCATTTTCTTTTCTTTGTCACAACAGGGAGAGTGGGCGGCAAATGTGAAATTGGCATTTTCTGTTTAGCCATTTAAGGTTTTAGAAAATAATCCGATAAACTTGGTTTCTTGGGGATGCACAAACCCATTGGTTTATTTTTATCGGTCCGCTCCAAAAAAAATTTATCAATTTTTGGAGACTAAAGGCATCTGGTCAATTCCATTACTGTTTGAAAACACATGATAACTTGACTACTTTTAGGGTTTAGGGACGTTTTCCACAATATTTAAAACAATCCGTCTGGAAAAAATCACTGACTGCATCTTTAAAGGTAGAACTCCACATTTCAAAAGCAAAAAGACAATTTCATTTGAAAATAATGAATCAAACTGATGGTGTTCATAAATGTGGGAGTCTTAACAACAGTCTTCCTCGAGGCTTACCCTGGTCCTCTCTCTCTTTCTCCTCCACAGCTCTGAGAGACGAGAGGTACCAGTTGGTCACGTTCACGTCTCGGCTCCTGCGCATCAGCGTGGCCAACGTGAGCGTGTCGGACGAAGGCGGGTTTTACTGCCAGCTCTACACGGACTCCACGCACCACCAGGCCGCGGCGCTCACGGTGCTGGTGCCTCCGGACACGCCCGCGGTGGAGGTGAAGCAGGACGCCGTGGAGGGCGGAGAGTCCGAGCTAACCTGCGTGTCGCCCAGGAGCAAGCCGGCCGCCACGCTCAAGTGGATGCGCAACGGACGAGAGATACCAGGTGAAAGAGGTCGCTTTGAATGTGGTGGGGAGATACCAGGTGAAAGAGGTCGCTTTGAATGTGGTGGAGGGATACCAGGTGAAAGAGGTCGCTTTGAATGTGGTGGAGGGATACCAGGTGAAAGAGGTCGCTTTGAATGTGGTGGAGGGATACCAGGTGAAAGAGGTCGCTTTGAATGTGGTGGAGGGATACCAGGTGAAAGAGGTCGCTGTGAATGTGGTGGAGAGATACCAGGTGAAAGAGGTCGCTTTGAATGTGGTGGAGGGATACCAGGTGAAAGAGGTCGCTTTGAATGTGGTGGAGGGATACCAGGTGAAAGAGGTCGCTTTGAATGTGGTGGAGGGATACCAGGTGAAAGAGGTCGCTGTGAATGTGGTGGAGAGATACCAGGTGAAAGAGGTCGCTTTGAATGTGGTGGAGAGATACCAGGTGAAAGAGGTCGCTTTGAATGTGGTGGAGAGATACCAGGTGAAAGAGGTCGCTTTGAATGTGGTGGAGAGATACCAGGTGAAAGAGGTCGCTTTGAATGTGGTGGGGAGATACCAGGTGAAAGAGGTCGCTTTGAATGTGGTGGAGGGATACCAGGTGAAAGAGGTCGCTTTGAATGTGGTGGAGGGATACCAGGTGAAAGAGGTCGCTTTGAATGTGGTGGAGGGATACCAGGTGAAAGAGGTCGCTTTGAATGTGGTGGAGGGATACCAGGTGAAAGAGGTCGCTTTGAATGTGGTGGAGGGATACCAGGTGAAAGAGGTCGCTTTGAATGTGGTGGAGGGATACCAGGTGAAAGAGGTCGCTGTGAATGTGGTGGAGAGATACCAGGTGAAAGAGGTCGCTTTGAATGTGGTGGAGAGATACCAGGTGAAAGAGGTCGCTTTGAATGTGGTGGAGGGATACCAGGTGAAAGAGGTCGCTTTGAATGTGGTGGAGGGATACCAGGTGAAAGAGGTCGCTTTGAATGTGGTGGAGGGATACCAGGTGAAAGAGGTCGCTTTGAATGTGGTGGAGGGATACCAGGTGAAAGAGGTCGCTGTGAATGTGGTGGAGAGATACCAGGTGAAAGAGGTCGCTTTGAATGTGGTGGAGAGATACCAGGTGAAAGAGGTCGCTTTGAATGTGGTGTGGAGAGATACCAGGTGAAAGAGGTCGCTTTGAATGTGGTGGAGAGATACCAGGTGAAAGAGGTCGCTTTGAATGTGGTGGGGAGATACCAGGTGAAAGAGGTCGCTTTGAATGTGGTGGAGGGATACCAGGTGAAAGAGGTCGCTTTGAATGTGGTGGAGGGATACCAGGTGAAAGAGGTCGCTTTGAATGTGGTGGAGGGATACCAGGTGAAAGAGGTCGCTGTGAATGTGGTGGAGAGATACCAGGTGAAAGAGGTCGCTTTGAATGTGGTGGAGGGATACCAGGTGAAAGAGGTCACTGTGAATGTGGTGGATGGATACCAGGTGAAAGAGGTCGCTGTGAATGTGGTGGAGAGATACCAGGTGAAAGAGGTCGCTGTGAATGTAGTGGAGAGATACCAGGTGAAAGAGGTCGCTGTGAATGTAGTGGAGAGATACCAGGTGAAAGAGGTCGCTTTGAATGTAGTGGAGAGATACCAGGTGAAAGAGGTCGCTGTGAATGTGGTGGAGAGATACCAGGTGAAAGAGGTCGCTTTGAATGTGGTCGTGGGGAGATACCAGGTGAAAGAGGTCGCTGTGAATGTAGTGGAGAGATACCAGGTGAAAGAGGTCGCTGTGAATGTAGTGGAGAGATACCAGGTGAAAGAGGTCGCTGTGAATGTAGTGGAGAGATACCAGGTGAAAGAGGTCGCTGTGAATGTAGTGGGGAGATACCAGGTGAAAGAGGTCGCTGTGAATGTAGTGGAGAGATACCAGGTGAAAGAGGTCGCTTTGAATGTAGTGGAGAGATACCAGGTGAAAGAGGTCGCTGTGAATGTAGTGGAGAGATACCAGGTGAAAGAGGTCGCTGTGAATGTAGTGGAGAGATACCAGGTGAAAGAGGTCGCTGTGAATGTAGTGGAGAGATACCAGGTGAAAGAGGTCGCTGTGAATGTAGTGGGGAGATACCAGGTGAAAGAGGTCGCTGTGAATGTAGTGGAGAGATACCAGGTGAAAGAGGTCGCTTTGAATGTGGTCGTGGGGAGATACCAGGTGAAAGAGGTCGCTGTGAATGTAGTGGAGAGATACCAGGTGAAAGAGGTCGCTGTGAATGTAGTGGAGAGATACCAGGTGAAAGAGGTCGCTGTGAATGTAGTGGAGAGATACCAGGTGAAAGAGGTCGCTTTGAATGTGGTCGTGGGGAGATACCAGGTGAAAGAGGTCGCTATGAATTTTTTTCTGTTTGGATTGTAGGTTTGGATTCAACCAGAACTGGGCCAAATATCAAGAAGAGATTTATTTGAAGGCCCTTAATATAAAGAAATATGAATAATTAAATAATTATAACTTTTAATTACATTTTAGTTAACATATAACATTAAATTATGTGCTTGTTTTCCGGAGACAATGGAGCAGTCAATTTAACGGCTTTTCATTTTGTGAATTGTGGGTTTTTGGTCTTCAAAACATTGTGACTTAGAGCTGGGTCATTATGAAATTATCTTGAAAGGACTGATTTGACCAGGCTGCGGCGCTCACGGTGCTGGTGCCTCCGGACACGCCCGTGGTGGAGGTGAAGCAGGATGCCGTGGAGGGCGGGGAGATACATACCCCAGCTTTAAGACAGTATGTCATTTTCTAAAACATGAAATGACAAAGTAAAAGGTTTTTCTTTTTGAGGGCCACAATAGTTTATTTTTAAAGGAAAAGGATGATAATTATTACAAAAAGCAGGTAGAGCCGGTGATGTGCCATGGGACAAATCCACCTGTTTTTCTTTCATGGTGAGCAAACATTAAACACAAAAAACACACAGAGACAGCCACTGGGGCCGAGAGAAAGCCAGGGGCCGAGAGAGAGCCAGGGGCCGAGAGAGAGCCAGGGGCCGAGAGAGAGCCAGGGGCCGAGAGAGCGAGAGACTCAAACACCAGAAGATTATACAAATGCATAAACAATAATAATACAATTTCTTACCTCAAGTAATAGTAATTAAATAATAATATAAAACAATTATACTACATTATATTTATATATCGCCTATCTGGGCACTCAAGGTCGCTTCACAAAATGTACAACGTTCGAAGCTAAAACAGTTTTCTGAAATGTATTGTTTTTATTAAACAATTTATTATTAAATGATTTATTAAATGTAAGTAATTTACATTCTATCATCTTTTACTATTTTAAAAAAGTGATAAAACTGGTGAATATAACTTAACTCATTGACTGCCATCCATTTTTGATGATTTCACTGATCCTCAAGACCCATAGAATATTATTTCCTAAGACTATGTGAAACCAGATTCTGAAAGACTGGATCGTCTACTTTGATCAGCAAAATATGTTTGTTTTTAGCTATTTGTATTGTCCTGTAATACCCAGTCGAAAAGAGGGTCTAAGACAAATATGTCAATGGCAGCCAATGAGTTAAAATACAACAAAGACTAAATAGTACCATAGTAATGTTGCTATGGAAACTAATACTAGTGCTTTAGATAACTATATTCACATTTTAAAAATATATAAAAATCAAAACCATGACATAGAAATAAACTACACAAAGATACAGAAAAAGTCGGAGTTATGAAGACCAAAAAAGTACAAATGAGTAATTAAAAGCCGTCAAATTGACTGCTGTGGGAGTTCTCGTTTTAAAAAGAGACCGTGGAATGTAGGGTCATAGTGAAACTGTTTCATAAGCAATTTTCCTGACTACAATTCTTTATACAGATAAAGTAGATCGTTGCTTGGTTTAGTGTTTGGGAATGTTGTGTGCCAGCCTTTACAACACCCATTTCAGTTCAGCAAATAGATATACAGTATCTTGTCCTTACTTCCTTGTTGACGAGAGACAACATACTTTAGGCCCGTTATTTGCCACAGTCTGCGTTCAGAGGTTACATTCCTCCACAGAAAACCGCCGATACATTAATCCAAGGGGGTGAATAAAACAAAACACAAACATTTTTTGGGCAGCAGAGTTTGTTCGACTGCGATAGCTGACTTGTTTGTTGCCTGCTTTCATGAGGCACCGATGTCGACTGAGAAACATTATAAAATTGTTAAGATAAAATAATAAACTTTAATGATCTCACAATGGAGAAATGTACAAATCTGGCACAGATAGAGTCACTCAGATTGTGCAAAAGACAGAAGTGTGCAACATGTTAAGGTTCAAAATATAGTCTGTGCAGGATATAATTATGTAAAAAAAAAAAAAAAAAGTGGCAATAGCAATAGTGTACTCTGTTTTGCAAGCACCAAATACAAACTAGCCTGAACATAGCAAACCGTAAACTCCGGTCCATTATCATTTCCCTACATCGACGCCTGGGTCTGATCCTTGTTGCTGTGGTTACCTGGGTTGTATCCCATCCGACCAATCAGTGAGCGGGGGAGGCGAGTGCTGTAGGAAGGTGTAGGTGACGTCAAGAGTTTGCGCTGAATACGATGGTTGTAGTTTGGCAATGGCTGCGAATACGATAGTAAAGTAATCTGTTACGGTTTGGCTCCAAATATCAAGTACAGTAACTGAAGCCGGAGTAAGAGGAATGTTTAGCAAATGTCATTGCTGCAAATGTGTTGTGGCTCTACTCCCCACGGGGTCTGTTAGTGGCAGAGGAGATGGCTGAAGCTAGGCTAAATGCTAAAGCTAGGCTAAATGCTAAAGCTAGGTTAAATGCTAAATCTCTCACTCACTCGGGCGCATTTCAATCTGCAAAACAAGTTCACCACTACCACCAAATCCAGACCTTAGTACGATGGTATGGTAACACCAGGATAATTACGAACAACCATTTGACAAATTATCTCCTGTTCATTAGCGTTTATTCACAGAAATCCAGCCAGGTGAAATGTCAAGTACGTGTCTCTTTCTTTCTTTGTATCTTTCTTTCTTCCTTCCATTTCTAAGCCAGTTTTTGTTGAATGCGCCCACAAAGAAGAGTCGGCCTGATCCTGACACCGGTGACACTTCCGGGTGACGGGTGCTTACAGGTCTCTGTGTAAAAAGTGAGCGATGAAGGGTCTATCGTGAGACAAATGAGCAGGTTAATGAGGTAATATGAAGAAGGTGAGAGCTTGATATGGGAGATTGATGGCTGAATGGACTGCAGAAGAAAAGGCAAGTGATGGATGAGGTGATGGAGACTGGCACATGTAAAAGCAGGTGTAAAATGGATGGAGGATGAAATGTTACTGTTTATGGCTCGAGGGCTGAGTTAAAGTTTTGGCAGACGGAGGAAAGAATCAGGAAAGAGAGAACATAGCTGCGTTTTTCGAAAGCACATTGCTCTGTGTTTTTCTTCATCTCTGCTCTAAATATAGCCGCGACAATACAGGCACATTTCATGCTGCTTGGGTTATTCATCAGGCTAATTAGTTCTTACAGATGCCAATCATTTCTATAGAGGTGTTTTGTGTGGAATGGAAATGCAGCCACCATACGCCAGCTTCAATCACAAACTGTGCTTTTCAACTAATCAATTTTCAAGTCACTCGAGGTGGAGTGTTCTGAGTCATCTTTACTTATTTGGTTTTATTTATTTAAGGATAGCCCCGTTGAACTCATCAAGGAAGGCTGACAGGCTCAATACAATACAATACAATACAATACAATACAATACAATACAATACTATACTACACAATACAATTGGACAAAAAAGGACAAACAAGGTTGAATTAGACATGCATATACAGTAGTTATACATACACACAGACATGCATGCACACACTCTCTACTCTCTCTGTCTTTCTCTCTCTCTCTGTGTCCCCCTCTCTCTCTGTCTCTGTCCCTGTGTCTCTCCCTGTGTCCCCCCCTCTCTCTCTGTCTCTGTCCCTGTGTCTCTCCCTGTGTCCCCCTCTCTCTCTCTGTCTCTGTCCCTGTGTCTCTCCCTGTGTCCCCCTCTCTCTCTGTCTCTGTCCCTGTCTCTCTCTCTCTCCCTGTGTCTCCCTCTCTCTCTCTGTGTATCTGTCCCTGTCTCTCTCTCTCCGTGTCCCCCTCTCTCTCTCTCTATGTCTCTGCCCCTGTCTCTCTCTCTCTCTATGTCTCTGTCCCTGTCTCTCTCTCTCTCCCTGTGTATCCCTCTCTCTCTCTGTGTCTCTGTCCCTGTCTCTCTCTCTCTCTCTCTATCTCAGTCTCTCTCTCTATTTCTCTGTCTCTTTCTGTCCCTGTCTCTCTCTCTCCCTGTGTCCCCCTCTCTCTCTCTCTATGTCTCTGTCCCTGTCTCTCTCTCTCTCCCTGTGTATCCCTCTCTCTCTCTGTCTCTCTCTCTCTCCCCCTCTCTCTCTATCTCAGTCTCAGATTCAGATTCATTTATTTGCCATTTGCGGTGGCAAATTTCTCTGTCTCTTTCTGTCTCTGTTTCTCTCTCTCTTTGTCCATGTCTGGCTCTCTTCTTCTCTATCTCTGTTTCTCTCTCTCTCTTTCTCTATCTCCCTCTCTCTGTCTCTTTCTAGCTCTGTCTCTTTCTGTCTCTGTCTCTCTCATTCTCTCTCTCTCACTCTCTCTCTCTCTCTCTTTCTCTCTCTTGTTTCTTTCCAATCCCCATCATTATCACTTCCATGTCCAACATTGTCATTCAGGCTCTTTTCATGTTTCGGCTATAAACTTTATATAGATGGACAATGCTAGCCCCCTTGCTCAGTGAAGCCCAATAGAGAAGTGCTCAAGGACAACGTTTTTTCTCCAACTCGCTCTGGCACCCAACAACGTACGTAAAAAATTCAATTCACATTGGAGAGACCCATGAGGAAAATGCCGTTAGACTTAGATTTAAGCATGTTTATTGATTGAGCATGTTTGGCGCCCTAGGCCCGGGAGGGATGCTGTTGAGCACGGCGCTTGCTTGCGTGCATAATCCCCAAAAAGCGGGCCTGCGATTGGTATAGCAGGACGTACTGCGCGGGCCTGAGAGCATGAGACGCTGCAGCAGAGGAGTCTTTGAGCGAGCTGTGAATATGAGATGCACGCTCATATTCGCCAGACGCTGAAGCAGAGGAATCTTTGAGCGAGCTGAGAACATGCGCGCACGCGCATGTTCAGCCAGACGCTGCAGCAGAGGAATCTTTGAGCGAGCTGAGAATATGAGCGCACGCTCATATTCAGCCAGACGCTGAAGCAGAGGAATCTTTGAGCGAGCTGAGAACATGCGCGCATGCGCATGTTCAGCCAGACGCTGAAGCAGAGGAATCTTTGAGCGAGCTGAGAATATGAGCGCACGCTCATATTCAGCCAGACGCTGAAGCAGAGGAATCTTTGAGCGAGCTGAGAACATGCGCGCACGCAGCAGGGGAGTCTTTGAGCGTTTGAGGAAAGTGCGTGCCGCCACCAGAATCTTATTGCTTACTTGCTTTGCTGGGAGCTTACGAGGAAGCCGGTAGACGTTGTGCTGCCATGATAGCGGTCGCATCTGGCCTGATGTAGGTGGAGAAGCCGAAGAGGACCAGCGCCCCAGCTGTTGCAGAGAAGAGTGGGGGAGCCCCAGCGAGGTCGCGCGCGTGGCAGCGCCTATCCTGTGGCAGCGCCTATCCTGTGGCAGCGCCTATCCTGTGGCAGCGCCTATCCTGAAGGAGTGGGCTGTATAGAGCTGGGGAGACAAATTGCAGACTTCAGAAGGAGCAGTAGGGATCTTAGTCGAGCT